ATACATTAGGAAGAAAACCCGACAAATACTAATATGTTTCAGTAGCTTAAGATAGTAGAATGATAAGATAAAAGGGATAAAATTGTCCTTATTTCAGAAAAAACACCATATCTTATATTAAGTATAGGGACCATTCAAAGTTTTCCTTTCCAACAGTAACTTTAATAAGTTCTAACAGGAGTTTCTATTAAACATAAACTACTGAAATCAGAGTTAAGATCAAAATAATCACATATCTGTACCCAGGAATTTTAAAGGAGCACAGTGGTTTTCTGGTGCATGTAGTAGATACCAAGTGGGTATGAGCTTCCAAAGAAACTAAATGACAAACACCATCCATGATTATATGAAAAGGAAGTTGTCAAATAGTGATGTTAAAGGCAGGTTACTTCTGCTTTTCCACAGAATAACAGAGTGGAGATTAAGGTGGATAATCTATTGCTGTACTGCCGAAAATTTTGAATTCAGAGAGAGGATGCTCTGAAATACATGCCCTGGTATGAGTCCATTTAGGAGACCTACGGAATACATCGTACTGGAAATAGAACTGTGGATAAATGTCCTCACACTTATGTCTAACTTTCTTTTCTCAGAATCCAACTGTGTAAAGTGGCTTCATACTTGATATATCGAACTTCATATGTCCTGACATGTATTTTTAAATATGTACATTAAGCATGTATTTCCTTATGCAAAGCCAACCTCTGAGACCGTGACTTGAGCTGAATCCTCCTTTGGAAATTTGGTCTTGGATGAGCCAAGTGCAGTCTCCCAGATCCATAAAATTAAACATATAATCTTTGATCTAAAACAACAAAAGCTCAATAATGAGAAACCAGCGGTTTCCATCTGCATAATGATGGAATAGATGCTGCTGCTCCTTTCTTTTGTTCCCGGTTTTGATGCACAACTAGTGCATCTATTATTTTATTTAAAAATCGTGTACCATAAAAACTAAGTTGTCTATAAAGCACTTGCTAATGGCCCGTGGAGAACTGATTAGCCAACAGTATTTTTCACATGCATACACCATATTACTTTATTACACCATATTACTTTATTACCTCAATACCTTCCAATTTTTAAGTAATTGTCATTCTGGGAACAGCACAGTCCGAGGAGCTTTTGTTACAGTGCAAGTGAAAACCATTCCGTTGCTTTTTGGTTGTTTCTCAACTGCACCATCATTCGTTCTTGCTAACCATCATGATATGTAGATCACTGATATTCCTTCACTTGCAAACTTCAGTGAATACTTGATCAGACCTTCAGGAGCTAAAATATTTTTCTCCTCTATGTTAAAAGAGAAATGAGTGAGTCAAAAGCTGATGGAGTCTTCTATGGTCCTTCCCAAAATCTGATAATTGAAGCAGGGAATAATTCATGTTTCTCATCTCCTTCCTCACTTCCTTGAATGAAACCATATTGATTTTTAAGCAGCTTGAAATATAAAAGTTCTATATGGAGACATCAGGAAAATGGGGGTCAGATTGTGTAGGTAAATGTATAACATTATTGCTTGAGTTGCATGAATTTAGGTTTCTAAATAGGCTTCTGTTATCTTTTGAAGAAAGGAGAAAAAAAAGCAAAATTACTATTACTAGGAGATAAATCTAAATGTGCAACAGCAGAGAAAAGAAATATTGTCATTAATTCAGTGGCATCTTCACTGATTACATGAACTTGGGTTAAAAAGAGAATGTTTATAAAATTAGAGCTTTTCCTTTGTACCTGCACTGTCAGACTGGCCCTAGGTTGCCAGATAAATTAAACACCTCTCAAAAAAGCTTTCTGTGGGTGCAGACAGCTCGTAGCAAGGCGACCCTGAATTTTTTTTGGAGCCTACTGTCTGTCACAAAACTCACAGGACTTGAAAAAAAAACCAAGTAACCCAAAGATTCAGTGTAAGAATTACAGTTGGCTGTTCAAGCCTCTAATTGCCTGGTGTCCTTGGCAAGAACAAACACAGGGCCGTGTCATTTGATATCCTGAACCATAACCTGCCATAATCCATACTCTTTAATCCCTCGTATAGCTGTCGCTATGTCATCACAGTTTATTTTAAAATGGTATTCTTCAGTACTAATCTCATTCCCAATCATTCATATTAATGTCAGAATTAGGGTGAATTAGGGCATTATTTGCCTCATGTGTGACACTTAAGTGCTTGTAAGTAATTGCATAGGAGAGGAGAGAGCATTAAATGTGAATGGCACATACAGTATGAGAAATGGAAGAGGCCAATATTAAACTTTTAATAGAAATAACTTCAGCAGAACTTTCCCACAGGCAACAGAACTCTGATATTTTTAGCTAGTTGAGGCCAATGTATGTTAAGAATAGCATTCACTGCAGTGGGAAAATACACAATTTCTATTATGGGGCAGTCAGAATAACAACATACTGATGATACACTGGTATAAAATATGTAATTATCTAGTGTGCAAAGGAATAAATCACATAAACTGTTTACAGTAGGAATTGTGAAAGGACAATGACACATTGTTGTCTTCTTTGCATAGCAAGGGTAAAGTTTGGCTTCTAAAATTGCAAAATCTAATTTGTGGTGTTTATGTGATGCTTCCTGCAAGAAGACTCTGATAAGACTTTTTTTTTTTTAATATTTCTAATAAATCAGGTTAGATATTAGCTTGGTTAAAATGGGAGGTAGAACTGGTTAAAATTAGAAAGATGTTAGCTTGGATAACATTCTTCATGTTGTATCATTAGTCTAAAATTACACAGAATAGTTCTCCTTTCCCATGCAGCTCAGATAACTGCAATTTTACTTCTAGAACCATTACTGTATTGTAATTAATAGACTGCAAAATTCATAACCATTCCCAAAGTGAAGTCAGAACTCTCGTAGAGCTGTGCATGGAGCAATTATTCTTATAACAGAACTACCAGCCCATCATATTAATAATTATTAATAATGCAGAGAACAAAGGCATTGTGTGTCCTCATGTATCATCATATATAAAAATAGTTTTAATTGATAAGCCCCGTCTGTTCTGTGTGTTATTATTGTATCACTGTAAGTTGTAAAAATAGGGTGAAATCAATATTTTTTATCTGTCCTCCTTGGTAGCAAAGAAAGACCTAAGCTTCAGGATTAGTGGGCAGATATGAGGAGGATTTCTTTCTTTGTGATACAAATCTGTATTAATTGATTTTCCTTGATGTGGATTAATTGCAGCTCTTTATTAGGAATAATATTACAAATAAACTATAGGCAAGTATAGATTGCTAAAGCCTAGATTTCAACTGAATGAGGCTAATCAATACCTAAGTCTGTAATTCAAAGCAATTCATTAAGGCCTCGGGAAAAGCTAAATAATATATGTGAGAAATGTCTCATCTGGAGCCTCAGAGGAGTTTCTCCCTAAACAGAATAAATATATTTGTAATACATAATTATTGCAGATTAATCTTGCTCAAATGCTTCTCCCTCACCAGCTCTGGCACTGAGGGTGTGGAGAACACGGATGGGCCAGAGCCCCTCACCGCATTTGCCAGCTGGTGCCCAAGTCAGGAGAGGGGCACAAGTGTGATGAGGGGTGGCTGAGGGAGCTAGGGGGGCTCAGCCCGGAGAAAAGGAGGCTCAGGGGGAACCTTCTCACTCTCTACAACCCCCTGAAAAGAGTTTGTAGCCAGGTGGTCTCTTCTCCCAGGTAACGAGAGATAGAGCAAGAGGAAATGGCCTCAGGTTGCATCAGGGTAGATTTAGATTTGATGTCAGTGAAAATTTCTTCGTGGAAAGGGTTGCCAGGCATTGGAAGAATGGCAGACTCCCCGTCCCTTCAGGGATTTAAAAGCCATGTAGATGTGGCACTGGGGGACATGGTTTAGTGGTGACCTTGGCAGTGCTGGGTTAGTGGTTGGACCCAGTGATCTTGGAGGGCTTTTCCAACCTAAATGATTCTATGATTCTATTCTTTGACTCCAGCATGGTGTAGTAGGTACATTCTGTGGCTTATAGGTCATTAAAACCTTTGCTATTTTGTTTTGTGATTTCAGATAGACAGTGGATCCAAGGTTGAAGTTGGCCAACAGGAGAGCTTAGTGCTTCTGTTAATTCTCATTCTTCATGCACAGTACACAAGAAGCTCAGCAATGTCTGTCTTACCATTGCTGTAGACAACAACTTGGGAATCTGTAACAGCTCTGAAGCTATTCAGTCCCTGATTGCACTGGTCCATCACTCTTGCTCTCAGCTCAGTCAAATGGACAGTTCAGCTTCTGATCTTAAACATCCATTTAAAGTTAAATACTTTAGCATTATTAAAATTGTTACTGCTAGCCAGCCTTCAGGAAACTTTAGTGACCTGTAGTGAGTGTTTATTATGCAAGGTGAATTTTGGGATTCTGTGACTGAAGAGCTTCCAGAATATAAATTGTATCATAGAAGAAGGGGAGTGGCTGTTGCACATGAGTAATATGATTGCTCTAATACGTGAGACAAATTCTAGGTTTAGAAGCACCAAATGTAAAACCTGGGAGAAAACACCAGTGTAACAGCAGTGAACAGAAAAGATACATTTCAAAATTGTGTTGTAATTAGTATATTTTGAAAATATGGTCATCCTGGACATGGCTGTGGATGGGACAGAAACAGACTTCAAGGACATACTAATAGTTCTGACTGGTTCAAATTTTAGCATTTACCAAATTCATGAACTTCTTTAAAATTGCAAAGGAGATGCATTTGCTTCAGTAGTCCCACCAATGCTGCACTTAACAAAATGTTTCCTTTCTGTTGCTTCAGAAACTTGGTTTTAGAGCTAGAAATCCCAAACTCTCAGGGCAAGTCCCAGGTTTCAGCGAGGCTACAGCAGGGATAATAAATGCAAACAACTTCTGCTAGGAAAAGCACGAGCACAGTTTTCTCCAGTGTGGAATAAGCCGAGCAAAACATTCTACCAGCTCTCCAATGTGCATATTCTGTCAACCAACGCTGCTACTGCCATAAGTCTTTTCTTTTTGTTCTCTTTGCCTAGGCTGGTATCTGTCCTCTTCATCCCACCTTGATTTCCAGTGCTGGAGCCTGTGTATCCCCAGTGAAGATTCCTCCAGTGAGTTTGACTCTCACTGTGAAGATACCACAGTCTATCAACTCGCGAGCAGTGAAGGTAAACTAACCAGGATTTAACTTGGTTAAATGACTTGACTTTGACTTCTGGTTCCCATAAACATTAGTTTGTCCCTGTATTAAGTATTGTTTTGACAGGTAAATTGTCTAATTCAGAGTAGTTGGTACCTGAATCAACTAATTCCAGGAAGACTTAGCATGATTTGGGGCTGATTTTCTGCATGCTATGGTCCCTTTTCACTACTGTATGGGAAATACTGAAACTAAGCATATTTAATTGCTATAGAAATGATGCCCTACAGAATTGCATCATGAGAGAGGCTAGAGGATAGAAATTTCTTGCTTTTTCTCGTTCATTTATATCTCTTATTGTCTTATCCCTTTGACAATTCCAGGTTGTTTCAGTGGTAGCACCATAAATCAAAGCCTAAGTCTGAAGACGTGTGGAAATGGGAGGGCATAAAATGCATCCAGGATAAACTGCTCTTGCATTTGACAGCTAACAAAGCCAAGAGAATAAACATCATCATAAGTCAATGTGCCCTCTATCTGGCTTAGATTATCTGGTGGCCATCTGAATAAACTCTCAGCTGAAGCAGGAAGCCCTGGGACTAGATCTTTCACCTTCCTTTGATTGTGATTTTCCAATTGTTTTCATTTTTCAGTGACGCCAGCACACTTGTTCATTGATGTTCCATTTTGGCCTTGATTGTGCCAGATCCACCCAGTGAAGTCTGAAGCCAAGAACAAACAGGGCCTCAAAAAAGAGAGGCTTTCCTTGAGGCATCCTTATACATCAAGGTCCTCAAGTGTGATGCAGACAGTGCTGCAGTTTTGTGTAAGCAGTGTTTAGACAGGGTTCTCCAAGTTCATCAGGCTTCTTGAATAGGTGGAAATAGCATATGTGCATGTGCACACTTACTCAAAATCAAGGATATCAGCAACAGAAATATTACTGTGAAAACACACTGAAATGTGTCCTTTTTTCTTTTTTTTTTTCCAAACTAGAGATTTTGCTCATTTTGGAGTCTCTGTTAGACTGGTAGTGCCACGAAAAGTGGCACGGTGTAGCAATGCAGCAACTTCATCTCTCTTCTTTTCTCTTCTTCTCTCTTCTTCTCTCTTCTCCTCTCCTCTCCTCTCCTCTCCTCTCCTCTCCTCTCCTCTCCTC